ATATATATATATATATATATATATATATATATATATATATATATATATATATATATATATACATATACATATACATATACATATATATATATATATATATATATATATATATATATATATATATATATATATATATATATATATATTCAATTTCAAACATTTTTTTATTCGATCCGTAGTAAAACCTACACTGGATATAGCAATTACATTTCAGGGTTTTTTTTTCATTTCACAAGACGCCTGCTCAGGCGTTAACACGGGCCTAAAAATGGCAACTTTCGTGGTATGATGTAATGTGTAGTAGAGAAGTAGATAGGGATACATGAGGTCTGGACCGTATAAATACAACCAGTAAATACATTCAAGATCGGCAACTATCAACCATAATATACCAAGACACCGGCTCAGGCGTACCCTCCGGCTATGGGCAACTCGACCTGACAAGCCAGACCTACTGTAACTTATCATCAACCCTCAACCGTAAATGATGATGGGCCAATAATAGCGAAGAAATTATATAGTCCTTGATTTTTAATGCCATTATATGACTCGTTTCAGGTGCTAAAGAGTTCATACACATAGACAATTCTTCTAAAAAATATGCCAATTTTCTTCCATTTATAAGATAAACTGATCCCAACCCCAAGCCCTTCTCTAACCCCAACCAGTAAACATCTAATAAACAATTTGAGAATTAAGAAAGTGGGGGGGAGTTGGATCTTGTTCCAAAAACCAATCGAACAGTGCCACATTTCACTTCGCCGCACGAAATGTCACCTCGTTGAATACAAATACAATCGAAAACATACATTTTATAGTAATATATGATTAATGTAATTAGGTGCAAATCGATAATTATGCAAATGAATGCAAGAGCACAATGTATGTTTATGAGCCTACAAAATATATTTATACTTGTTAATTAAAAAGTCAAACTGTCAAACCTTTAACTTGTCCTTGTTTATATTCCACTATATTGTATACATTCGCTGGGTCCAAATTTGGGGGTTTTTGAGTCGTTACACGAAGAAAAACACACTCATTCAACACGCAAGAAAGTCCAGAGTGCGACACAATGTAAAATCCATAGGAAACCGGCATAATTCTATGAAAATTCAACGAAACTGTGTAAAATATATTAGATCGCTCGGTGAAAAGCCGCCATTTTTAAACTGAACTGAATATGTCACTGGAGCACGTTGCACCCTTAGCCTGTGATGACCTAACGCAAACACGATTTCTCGACTACGAAAAAAAACCCCAGAAAAAGTGATATTTAAGACACTTGCCCTACAGGCCAGTGTAATTACACCAATCATCAATAATTTTTAGTTGTTATTATTAATGCATGATGAGTTCTGGATAAAATATCAGAACTTGACAAATTTCGATATTAAATTTAAAACTAATAGCATTGTTTGTGTCAGGCTGAGCTCCTGTAAATTTATATAAATGATATTGGTAGGAATATGCTCTTACTGAGAACAGACATATCAATTTGGGACATATTGCATCTTAACATAAGACTTATGTATAGCATGTACGTAAGTATACCGAACAGCAGCTATAAGGATTTTTAGAGAAATTTCCAATATATCCAGGGAATCGATATTTCTCCTGAGTATTTTCGTGAAGGGTGAAATCCTCTATTTATTTTGCATGATCATTTCATTTAGGTTTTTTATACGTAGACTGTACCACACCTATATTCGCCGTTTAGCGAGTATAAGCGAAATCAATATTTCAGCAACCGAGTCTTACTAATTTCCCGTGAAATGTGGACGGTTCTTTTCGTGAATCGTGTAATTATAAGGATTCATTTTCCGTGAAACGTAATCACTACTCTCCCTTTACCACACTCATAAGTGGTTGTGACAAAAATTTAAAGGAAAGATATAGGCCTACTAGATAAAGATTATAGCATACAAGAGTTTCTGACGAAGCTATATCGTCACGCGTAGCAATACACGATTTTTGCTGCGGAATTTGACGCGCGAAACCGTGCGGAAATATTCTATCTTATTTGATTATACTGGATTATTGTGCGGATGTTATATATGCATGCAAAAGCTCAGCTGTGAATATGTGGTAGCCTCACTGCATGGTAGTTATTAAAAGCGCATGTCTTTCCAAAGTGGTATACTTGAAGGCTAGCTCAGCCAACTGCCCTCACCTCGTGTGCGGCAGGCTTAAATGCAACATATGCATGAGCACTAGAAATTTTTCAAATTCGTCTGCGGCTGCAATACATGCAACTGTGCTAATACATCAATACAAACCTGACAAATTATGTCAACATATTATATTTACGTTATAACAGGTTACGGCAACCAACGAGCTCCAGGATCCTTCATATTCTCTCTTCGTAACAAGAAGAATCTGCCTTCATTTAAAGCCCCGTTGAAAGATGACTATTCTTGGTTTGCAATTTTCGCACAAACTGATTATGGACCAACATTTGGAAAAGGTCATGACATATACATATCTAATGATTCGGCTTCGAAAACCAATTCATATACAAATTTTAATTCCCATTACCAAGTTCCATCTGGTGTCAGCAACACAAGCACTATCTTGGCAGGAACCTACAACTTTCAACCATCAGAAGTCGAAGTGTTCCAAATTGTCTAGAACTTATCTCATATATATTCGTGCACTAAAATATATTCTTATTTCTCAAACTAAATTTGAACGTGCTCATGGAACAAATTTGACACAATTTGTTTATGATTGCGTTGTAAAGAAGATTCAATTTGACAGCGTGAGTGTCTTTCCCAAATTATCTTTAAGCCGGTTTTCCATTATAGGTAGACTTTATTTTGTGATTATTTTATCATTTTTGATATGCGTTTAATTATCCTCACTATGACGTAACTTTGCATAACGACTTTCCGAAAAAAATAAATATATATACTATATTGATTATTACTTAACAATTATTCGTCGAAGGCGATCGAGGTGATTATCGAGGAATATTCGCCGAGACGAAATTAGTATTTTAGTATTTTTACACAAGTCTTTTGTGTTTTTTGGAACTGAATTTATTTCAATTTTGCTTATTTCTTTTATCAGTAACTTCCACAAAACGGCTAGCCGCCATTTTGAAAATTTCGTTTTTGTTATATTCACCTGTAGGTGAATATAACAGCTTGATACGTCAAATTTGACCAATCAACTTGTAGGATTTGTTATGTTCACTTGTGCAAAAATACTAAAAGTTATTGCTTCAAGTACAAGTACTGTACTTGTGGTCTTCATGTCTCATTATTACCTATAAATTGATTATGCATGGTTAGAGATCTTCAAAAAAAGTTTAATAAAAAAAAAAGTTAACAAAAGAAAAAAATTTTAAAAGTTAGATTTTCAAAAAAAGTTTAGAAAAGTTAGATTAGATTAGGGTTTAGGGTTGGGGGTTAGGATTAGGGTTTGGGTTGGGGTTAAGGTTGGGGTTAGTGTTAGTGGTTAGGTGTCACGAATTCATCATATTAATAAATACGGACGTGTTTCACAATTTACTCATATAGCAATTCATAGGTGGAGCTCATGCGAACATATAGTGCAGCTGTTCAAACAATTACGATATCTGAGATTGTGTTAAATCCAGTTAAATTAATTCAGTTGTGTAAAATCCTGTCTTTGTTTAAGTAATAAAGTAGGTTTGTTGCAAAGTTCGGTGATCTTTTAATTAGTTTAGTATGAATTGATATTTGCAGGTGGGTACGAACCGGGAGGGCACGTGCCCCGTCAAATTTTTTCGAAGGACCAAGACTGCTCTTTTTGTGATGAAATGTGCCCTTTTTGTACAAGCTATTTCGCTGTAAACACTAAATTAACTACCCTGGATTCCAGAGCCTTCGACAGTATATAATAAATTGAAACGTCGCGAAGGTTCTCGTTCAACGGGGAGATTCTTTGATTAAACCGCACCAATCACAAAACAGAATTAGCGGTTTTAGTTCAGAATCTGTATTAAAACCACTAATTCTGTTTTGTGATTGGCGCAGTTTAATCATAGAATCTCCTCGTTGAACCAGAGTCTTTGCGACGTTTCAATTTATTATTTAATACTGTCGAAGGCTTTGGCAGAACGAGTGAATTTCAAAAAGGCAACGTTCATGTATAATGTAAAAAACAATAATCTAAATTAGCCTATGACAGATATTTTTGAAATTAGTAACAATCAATATATATATATATATATATATATATATATATATATATATATATATATATATATATATATTATATTAGTTAAAGTATTAGTGTGTATAGTAGGTTTTTAATATTGACTATTGTATTCAAAAGGCCCCTTGAAAATCAGTTTCTTTGTGCTGAAGGGCTACCGTTTTTAAATAAGTTTAAATAATAATAATAATAATCTATGGTATAAATTAACATGAAAGGTTCCTTTATTGTTTGGAAATTTCGATGTTTAAAAAAAAATTGATAAAAAAGTGCAATTTCGATGCAGTGTGACAGGAAAATTTTTCTTCCTCCTATGTTCCTGCAGATTTTGTTTATTTTAATTAAAACTTGACGTTGAAATTATTAAAATGTGTCGGTTGTCTGGAAAACGCGCGCACGTACACGCGTACATGGAAAACGCGTACATGGAAAACGCGTACACGGAAAACGCGTACTTGGAAAACGCGTACATGGAAAACGCGTACATGGAAGACGCCTACATGGGAAACGCGTACATGGAAAAGCGAGCATGGAAAACGCGTGCATGCAAAGCGCGCAAATGGAACACGCGTCGGCGAGTGCCGACGTGTATTTTAATCGCTCAGTTCAATGGATCCAACAACTACACTTAGTATTTGGTCCGATTATTTCTGTTTAAAAAAGAACAAACTAAAATGGTCAAGTACATTAGCAGACTTAAAAACGTTACTACATGATGAAATAGACGAAGAAACGGCAGCACATTCAAGCTAGCGATCACCTAGCGGGGGAACCTGGGTTTTTGAAAGCAACCAACTAAAATTAACGTGGCATAGTAAAAGTGAGAACATCAGCTTTGAAGGAGCCAGTGGCAAGGATTTAGCTGAACGAATTACTTCACTATTAACAAGGGCTGATGATGAACGAGTGAAGACAAGTCCTGTCGAAGCCGATCCGGTGAAATCGATTGAAAACAACGAAGGCTGTGAAACCGAGCATAGCGAAGTCATTGATGTAAATGAGTCTAGGAAGTCGATTGAAATCAACGAAGCCGAACCGGCCAAATCGATTCAAGTAAACGAAGGCTGCGAAACCGAGCATAGCGAAGTCATTGGTGTAAATGAGTCAAGGGAGTCAAATGGAGCAAGTAATTGTAATCATGCGGAGTGTCAATGCCCAGAAATTGTTGCTGAACTTAAAGGTATGAAGCATGAAATCGCTATTCTACAGTCTCTTATCCAATCAATTGCTATTAGCAATTAAATACCTGACAATGGTAGTGTGATTTCCAGGCTAGAAGCTGAGCACCAATCTGTTATTGATGATATGAAACTTAAAGCAGCTATGCAAGTTGCTGACATAAAAAGCGAAATTGGTAAGCTTAGTGCTGAGCATCAATCTGTAATTAAAGATCAAAATCTTAAGTATGCAATTCTGGAACAGAGATGGTTAAAAGCAGAAGAGGAGAAAGACTCTTTGCGTTCGGTCCTTAAATTGTTGTTCAGGAGAAAGACAGGGTAAATGTTTCTAATCTGCAGCCTGAATACAACTGTGTCGGTGATCCGTCTGTGCAACAAAACAATTTCAAAGCCCGTACTATGACTAATAATTGAAATCATGCTGTGAAAATAGACCTCACAAGCAGGGATGATTATCATAGCCAGCAAAGGGAAAGTGTTCATCCCACTATTCAAATTACTCAAAAACCTTTGAATTTAGCCAGCCTAACCTCTGAAAACAAGATACCTAGCCAGGTCCCAGGTGGTCAACCATGCCTTCCTAGAAGGTATGATCATATAAATGTCAGCAACAGAATCAATAAGTCAACTCCAATTAGTCGTTACCTCCAAACTAGAACCATACCTGATCAGTATCTTGTTGATCTGCCTTGTTTACAAGATGGCAGTAATCAGTAGTCGATTCATCAGTTAGCGCATGGGCAAGTCAACTCCGATGCTTCCAATAAGAATATGATTAACAACACCAATGCATTAAACTGCAACCGTAGTCCCCACAGTCACAGTCCATCTATTGATGTCGATTCTACTGAATCTAGAGTAACTCACCACCCACCTAGTCCATCCAACTCACGTGATCAATCAACTATGATTAGAGGCATCAACCACCTATGCCACCTCACCGTACCAAGATTTCTATATTGGGAGACTCAATGATAAAGCATGTTCAATCTCCGCAAATTCGGCGGGCCGTGAGTTCTAGTAAATCCGTCTACATCCGCTCTTTTCCGGGTGCAAAATCTTTAGATATGGCAGACTTTGCAAGACCAACTATGAGGGACAACCCGGACCACATTATAATACATATTGGTACAAATGATGTACGCCAAAGTAATCCAGAAGATGTCATT